GTCCTCATTTTACCCACCTCGGAAGGATGGAAGGCTGAGTCAACCCTGAGCCGGTGAGATTTGAACCGCTGACCTGCTGATCTAGCAGTAGCCTCTAAAATCGGAAACCCTTTGATGGAGGCCTGATTCTAGGCTTGCGAGGGAAAAAACAAACTTGAAAATCCAATATAACCAAAGGTGCAAAACAGTACTTACCACCTTTGACCTTACAGTCTTTCATAAACAACAAATGACCTAGGCTTTGTGAAATGGCTCTCTGAGAATCAGAAACTTAAGCAGAGAGGAACTTATCCAGTAATCCAGCATTTCTGAACCTTGGCAACTTGAAAATATGTGGCCTTCAATTCCAGGGATTCTCGTGTCAGCATATTGGCTAGGAAACTCTAGGGCAGGGGTCTCCAAAGTTGGCCACTTTAAGACTTGTGGATTGGGGAATTCTGGGAGTTGAGGTCCACAAGTCTTAAAGTGGCCAACTTTGGAGACCCCTGCCGTAGAAGCTGAAGTCCACAAATGATCAAATGGTCCAGATACACTGCTGTAACCAAGAACAGAAATTTGGCATTTTCTCTAGTGTGTTTCTTGAAGTCACAAGTGTTGTCGAATGAAAACAGTACATATAGATTTGTGGCAGAGATAGCAAAGGGTAAAATTTATAAAGTTGTGCAAGACAAAAAAAGGAGACCTAGGGATGTTTATTAGAAAGCCTACATCGCCTTTGAAAGCACTCCCTCAACATTTTAATCTCCTACTTATCAAGACACTTGGGGAAAGATTGACAATTATGAGGTATTGATTTGATCTCCAAACATCCTCAGCAAATGTAACTTTTATCTTTACTCTTGTTATTCAAAAATATTTGAGTTAATGAAGACCACAATTCCAGAATTATTAACAGAAAACACCCTTTAAATCTCAAGGGCCTGTTAACTATGAATGAACCAATCTATGATTAATCTTAGGTTTTTATTTTGTTAATATCACAGCAGACAAACTGCATCTTGCACAGCCCTTAAAAGTAATGGAAAATGGACAATTTATTAGGGAATGTCAAAATGAATTTGGACTGGAAAACCTATGAGGTCCCTTCTAGCTCTATGGTTTGATAATGTGTTATGGAAATTCATTACTATCTTGGGAAACGCCATAATTTATTAATTATGGAAACTCTAAATAAACAAATTTAGACTATTTGTTAGTAAAAGCACTAAATAGCTACTAACACTGTTCCTTTCTTCCTCCTCCTTCTGACTGGTTGGTTAGTCACATGTTTAGACTAAATTTGGCATTTTGATCCTCCAATAGAGTCCTTCCCAAGGATCCGAGATAAACAGATATTGTGGTTCTATGGTTTTAAAGGTATCGTCACAAGAATGTAAGCTGTTCCAAGTAAAGTTGCTTTTTGCTATTGACCAATGGGTATTTTGTCAATGCCGATGGTCTTCAAGGGTTGCTCCAGATGTTTTGTACCCAAGGGGCCTATTACTTCTGAGGGTATATTTGCTTTC